TTTTTTTTATTTTATAAAAACACAATATTGATATAATATTTGTTAATTAATCATTCATTAAAATTTAATTAATCATGCATATGAACTTAAAATATTTTCGAGTTACTTAGTTAACATTTTAGTCAATACAAGTAACAAATAAAAATGTCACTCCACACTACTCGATAATTCTTTCGATGGGTACAAGAATACGCCACATTACTGGGTAAACAATTTTGTGGGTGCTAAGTACAATTGATATTATTATGTACATTTATTATAACTTGAAGTTATTTTTCATAATCAGTAGTAATTTATAAATAAATTTAATTTATATATTACGATTATTATTAACAAGTAATATTTCCAAGGATAAGGTTTATAAACACGATTTTTGTCCACACAATTTAATAAGACATACTGTATAGAAAATGTTATCTAAGATTTATTTAAAACTCAACGACTTATTTGTCGGCTTTTCCTTTTAAAAGGCGAGTCACTCTTCATAGTCATGTGTCTCTCAAAATAAATGGCTTCGTCTCTTCATTTCTTAGGCAGATTCCGGCCATTGAAAGGGGGAATCGACTCTTTCACCCATTGTTCATATTTAATTTTCCCTTTATTTTGCTGCTATTGACTGAAGTTCCCTTTGTGGTTGATTGAAGCTCTAACCGGGCCTGTAAAGGAAGCATTCGATTCAGCCCAGGCCAGTTCAAGAGCTGTCCGGGAGGCACATGTGGCGAGCAGCGTCTTGGAGAAAAGTAGAAAACTTGACGGGCTGACGAGCCCTCCGCTGCCAATGAACTCAGAGGCAGAGGTATGTTTGGGGACTACCACCTAAAAGGTAAGAATTTCCTGGTTTTGTTCTGATTGTCCATTTTGTTCTTACCTTATCATATCCCAGTGGCTGGTCATAATCGTTGTTTGTCCATTTTATTTTTACAAAAGTAATTCTTAAATATATATCAAAGCTGTGATATCTGAGACTAACAGATGTGTATTTGTTTTAGAATGCTCTTGGGAGAGTGTTTTGATTCTTGTTCAAAGGATTAACTAGGACAGCTCAAACAACAATTAGTATGAAGTTTAAGCAACATCAGGCGCGAAAGGTATACCAACGTAATATGCATTTTATTCTACCAACCAATAATTGCATGTATAGTGGAAATTAATAGGCCGTATCCCGTAAGTACTTGATTCAATGATTCAAATGAGGTCTGGTATAGTTTTATAGTATATACACAATATTCTTGTAATGACATTGTTTGTGTTCATATATGGAAAAAAGGTGATTTCAGGATTACTTGTTGGATGCTCCGGAATCAATTGGAAATGAGTTTTCTTTCAGAACAGATAATCATTATGCTCCCCACAAAAATTTGAGGTGGTTATTTGTTGTGGTGAAATTACAAAAATTTGAGGTAGTTATTTGTTGTAGTG